AACTGCGCTCGACATGCCGATGCCATTGGCACTAAGGAGAGCGCATGTCCCGCCGATACATTGGCGCTAAGGAGAGCGCATGTTGTCAACACGGGGCTTGGCGGCACACTGAGAGGTCTCCATTTCTGGGGCTACTTTCCTCCAGCCTTAAGCTTGTGACCCTACTTCCCTTCATCTTCAAGCTTTCTCCCGTGGTGAAGGAAGCCCCTCCGCTCCACCCTGCCCCATCCCTGGGCAAAAGCACCCGCGCGGGCCGCCCCGCCCGCCACGCGCGTGAAACAGCCGAGCATCGTCCGAGGGCCGATGGGGCCGGCTCGGCTTTGAAGCTGGGCTCTTTCTCCCAGAAAGAAACGGATCTGAAATGGATCCTTACTTGGTTTTGCTGTTAAAGAGATCCTACAGGATCTCACAGCCTTGCCCAGGCCCGACTGGATGGCACTGCACCAAGCAGGTCATCCCCACACGGAGAAGAGGTGGTCGAGGACAACCCACCAGGGTCCCACCCCTCCTTTCAAAGCCTGCTCTGGGGGTCGTGACCAAGATAAAGCCGGAGACCGTCTCTTTCCAAAGCTTGGCGCTCAAGTGGGATTAAACCCTGGGGAAAGGAGGGATTTTCTCTCTCTCTCGCTCTGCCTCCCCCCTCCCTTCCCTTGCGCTCCCTGATGATAATGACTGCTAGGACATGGCGACAGGGAGACGCAGTCTGTCCCGCCAGCCCCGCGCCATCCCCGGCCCCTGGAAGTCATCTCTGCTTGCAAGCCCCTCTCATCCTGGAGGTTTAGCCAAATTGCTTTGACGTCCTGGGAAGTCGCAGACATCAACGGTGAACGATCTAATGATTTTTAATTTCATTACAGCGACTCTGGCTGAGTCTGCTGGTGCCGTTTCTCCTCTGAAGTCCCTATTGTTTAGCACCGCCTTAGGTTTGTTTAAAGAGACTTTTCCATAGAGCCGCCTGCTCACAGCAAGGGCATGGCTGGCCCCTGCCTTGCAAGGGCATTTCATATCCACCTAGCTCACCCCCATCCTTCCCCGGGAGCCTGTGTCCTTGGGGTGGGAGAGCTGGAGGAGGAGAAAGCTGTTTCTGGAGTCTCGGCATTCAAATGCACCCCAGACCCCCCCCCCCCCGCCTCTGTAGTGGAGCCTGGAAAAGAATCTGGAGTCCCGAAATACAGATTTCTCAACCCATTTTTCGTGTCACGAAAACCCTAAAGAAAAAGCACACACTTGATGTTAGGGCTCGGAGGGTGCGTGCGGACGACCCTTAAGAGGAAACTGGAGTCAGACCGGGTTATAATCACATATCTACCCCATAGCTCTCTCTCTCCATGTTGCTTTCCCTTCATTTTTCTGCTGTTTTCCCTGGCAGACCCCGTGTCAGATCGCTGCTATTATTAGAGACCACGTGGGCAGGGATTTAATGGCCCGGCTTTGTTGTTTAAAGTCGCGTTTAGAGAAATGCTTGGGAAACGTGAAATCGAAGTGTTGAAATGAAGACGGAAAAACATGCTGTTGGGAACGGATCCTGGGGCACGGGATCCCCCTCCCCCCTCCAAATAATGAATACACTGGCTCGGGGGAAGACTTGTCCTGGGAGATTTGGAAGACTGCTCTTGCTGGCTGCAGGATTCACACGAGCTGTTGCTTCCCCGAATTGACACACATGAGTTTTGCCAAAATCTGTTGTGTGCCTGAAGCTCTGGGGCTGTTTAGGCCTGTAGCTGTTGTTGCACTTTGGATGGGAGCACAGGAAACACAATTAGGTTGCATTTCCTCGCCTTATGCCGGATTGATTTTACTGTTAACCAAATTCACTGAGGCAGCAAGCAGACTTTAAAGCTCTCAGACTCCACATGAGGTTAACACCAGGTAGCTAAATAGTTACTTAGTCACCTTAGGTGTATTTAGCCTGTTTTAAGAAGCCAGTCGCTGCCCGTGGCTGGGGAAGGATTTGTGTGAGTAGCCCCGAGTCAGGGCAGCTGCACATCCCGCTTCCAAGAGTTTGGGAAATGAAGCTTCATTGGGGGGGGGATCGGCGGCCCCACTCATCCGAGGAGGGAGTAATCGTCACCATCATCTAAACCAGGGGTAGGCAACCCCTGGCACAGGTGCCAGAGTGTGGTGCATGAAGGCATTGTGCTTGGCACACCTGGTTCAGGGTGGACAGCGGGAAAAAGGATGGGGCTGCATTGCCACAACAAGGATCAGGCCCCTCGCAGCTCCCCCGCTGCCATCCGCTGGCACCGCAGCATCTTACAAGCTGAGGTCGTGGGTGGTCGGGGCCCCAAAACACTGCTGACCCCTGATCTAAACCGACCGCATTGAAATGACCTTGGCTTCCCTGCCACTGGTGCACTCCTGGCACGTCTGCAAAGCCGGCAAACGGTGCAGCGTGCACACAAGTGGGGACGTGTGTGTGTGTGAGTGTGTGAGTGTGTGTGAGTGAGTGAGAGAGACGGCTAATGCCCGCAGGTGGAAGAGACCTGCTCGTGCTACTGCGGGTTGCACTAAGAGCAAGAGCGCGCGGCGCGTGCGTGAGAGGGGCATGTGTCCCCGCGTTCAGAGAGCTGGAAAGATGCGTGTGCCCGTGTGTGAGAGGGGACACGCGCTGTATGACGTGCGAGGGGGCTGATGGTGCGCGTGCTGGTGCGGAAGGCAGACAGACGCTTGCTGGGGGCGAGGACGCGGGAGATCGCGCGCGCGCGTTTCCTTCACACCTCGACACAAAACGCACCTGCCCGGCTGTCCGTTTCTAACGCTGCCTCCCGCAGCGCTGCCCTTGAATTCCCTCCCAAGCCCGCGCGGGCTGCATTGCTTTGGACCCTTTTCTCCCACCAATCTCATCGCACGGGCCCCGAGCCAGCCCCGCGCCCCGCGCCGCCGCAGCTGCGGGGTTGCCGGGCCTGGAGGGGAGCGGGGCCGGACTCGTGCCCCGCGTCCCCCCGCCCCGGGCCGCGCCGGGATGCTGCAAATGCGCCGCTCAGCCCCCGGCCCGCGTCCGTCAAGCGCTCGACACCGGCTCCGGGGGGCTGTCAGCCCCCAGCCTGCTCTCGCGTCCGGTGAACGGGAGTCCTAGTCGCTTTATTCCCATTCAGTTCCGGGGGTGGTTCCCCTCCCCCATCCACGCTCTGACTTGCTATTTCACTTGACAACCGAGACTAACGAGAGATTGCCAAGAGAGCTGCGCGCCGCTGGCCGGCGGCTGCGCACTGCGCTGGCACAGCCCTTTGTTGCAATCAGGATGCGCGGAGCTGGCAAGAGCCACGTGGGTTTCCCTCCACGCCAAGCCGAGCTCAGCGCTGCCTGCACGTGAAGAGCTCCGCACTGCTGGCCCTCAAGGGATGGGGCTACCCCGCGTGGGGAGCGGGCAACAGCCGGCGGAGTGCCCCTGCCCCCTGCTCGCCGAGGTACTTACATGTCCGAATGGGTCAAGGTGGTTGTTGGTGAGCTTGAGTTTTTGGAAAGAAACCAACTGTCTCATCCAGTGAGCCCCGGTGGCTGGTGAGTCTGGGTGCACGTACAGTCTGCCTGGCATGGCAGGCTCTGCCTTCCCTGTCACTGACCTGAGCCAAAGGGACACAAAGCCAGCTTAGCCTCAGGACCCAAAGCAGGAGTATACCGCACCAGCTCCAGGCATCAGCGGCCATGCAGTTTGCGAGGGTGTAACACGGCGAGGACGGGCTTAGAGCGGTTGCTCCCTGTCCATTCACCACCTACCCACCCATCTATGTGTCTGTCTGTGTATCTAGCCGTCCAGTCCTTGTCTACCCATCCCTCCCTCTGGCCATCCAAGTTCTTTCATGCATTTCCCTGCATTTGCGGAGGAAGTGTGCGCTGGACGGTCAGGTCATATTTTAGGGGAAGGAGACATTTGCAAACACAAACCGCTCTGGAAATTAATTGAGATCTTTGGCAAATTTCCCGTCGGATCTCTGCGCCTCTCTCTCTCTCTCTTTCTTCTATTTAACCCCATCCTCCCTCCTTCCTAATTAGCGGGGAGCCAAGAGAGGACCATGTGGTAACTCTTAACATTCACCAGTCCTGGCCATTTTTCTCCCCTGAACACAATTAAGTTGTTGGGCCCACCATAACCAATAATCTGGTCGTCAAGCAGAATTAAAGTTAGTGTTAGCTAATTAAAATCGATTTTCTTTCCTGGTCCTCTGTTCAGGAGTCTGGCAGATTGGAACCATCTTGAGACAGTCGGTTGAACTCCTTCAAACTTTTTTCCAACTTCTTGTAGCTCTTAATAGGACAAGCTGACGCTCAACTGCATTTTACAACCCCTTTAAATTAGGTTTTGCTCACTGTCCAGGCCAGACGCAAAGTTTTTTCTTCTACCCTCCCCCTAGGCATGCATGCATACCATTTATTATCTGCGAATTTGTATCTGTGGTCATCAGCTGGTACAATATCCATCAGCAGTATGTACTTAGTTTTTGGATTGAGTCCAGTGACCTTCACTTTGTAACTGGGGAACATACGCCTGTAAAAAAACAAATATAAATACAGGGGAAATTACAAAAGGGTTTCCACACTCAAACATTTGCGAAGGAATTATACGAGGGGATAATTCACCCATATTAACCTACAGAGCAACAGACACACACACACCCCTCCAAAAATATACACACAGGATGAAACTTTCCCTTGATCTTGTTTGATTTTGGTGTTTCTGGGCATTGTTCCGCGGTTATCTAAAGCAAAATAATTAATGTATGGAGAGGTGACTATAGTTACAGGATTTTGATTGCTTGTTTGCCTCTAATCATTCCAATAGTTGAACTCTTCATTCGTTTACTAAACAGCAGCATGTAATATATTCCTTACTTTACAGGAATATTAATATACTGATAGCACTCCACACAGGACCTTACATGCCATTGTATAAAGGATGGTGGTTACTAAAATGCTGACTTTTTCATAAAAGGCATACTGTATGGTTGTATGTATATATATATATATATATATATATGTATATATATATGTATGTATGTATGTATGTATGTATGTGTGTACGTATACGCGTTGTATGTATGACACTTGTGTGTACACATATGAACGGTTATACACACAGAAGTATACATACGCAAAAGTGACACGCTTGACCAATTCGTTGAAACCTTCAAACATACGCTTGAAGGGGGAAAAAAAAGTTCAGAAATATTTTCCATTACAAGTTAGTGACCTTAAGCGTTAGTGTCATTTTAGCTTGATCTTCCAAATGTTTAAAAACGAGCTGACGGACGTGTATTCTTTCAATTAAAAACAAAACAGTCTAAATGTACTTATTTTTAAGTGGCAGTTTCCTGCCTTTGCAATAGGAAATCAAGGCTATTTCTGAGTTCGAATTGTTTCGTGGTTTGAAACACGAGAAGACAGGTAGAAAATAATGAACAATAGCAAAGATGACGTTTACTATGTTGGAGGAAAAGGGGGAAAAATGAACCGAGCAATGAACCAGAACTATGTTCAGAAATGTATCACGAACAGCGCACGAAACAAAGTATGCCACCATAAACCAGCTTTATATAAATAAGTGAATGGCCTAGTTTATGCTTTGGCGATACATGTAAACAGTAACACTCCTACTAAGACTCTTATTGTAAAGATCTTTTTGATGGTTATACGTAAGAGATGTTTATCCGCGCCTGGGCTTTAATTTTTGTTTTGACTTTTAGGCAAGACGCGTTACGTCCCTCTTCCTCTGCTCCTCTCCACATGCCCATCAACTGAAAGTGAAGTGATCCCTACATATTGCAAGGAATCAATGGGAGGATAATATCACCACCCCGGATCCTACTTGGTCTTTTGCCTTCACCCAGTAGGATCCGGAGTTTCGTCAACTTTGCTCTCTGCAAAGAGCTCTTGCTAATGGTTATAAAATGCTCGAGCTCAGTGTTTATATCAGGCCTTTTTACTTGGGGAATACTCTTCTTTTAAAAGGACCCCATCATTTCAACAGTAGATATGGTCAAAGGGAAACCAATCGTTATACAAATCTATTTATCATCCAGTGCAACGCTTTATATAGTAGATTTTTTTTCCTGTCCACTGTATGGTGTACCACCACCTACTGCCTGACCGGAAGGAATGAAGTTTGATACTGTGTTGTTGGTAGGGAAAATCTGATTTCACTTCGGATATTCATCTTGAACTACTATCATCTCTATGAGTGCACGCTTTCTCATCTTGTATCCAATGTAGCAAATTACACTTACATTGTTTAATAAAAAAGAGCAATGGAAATAATATATTTCTGTTCCCCTGGTCTTGTTGATGAGAATGGGCACAGAGCTAGATTTCACTGAGTCTCAGTGGTTGACCCATGCCTCAAATTTTGTCTTAGTGGTCCTTCGGCTAAATGGGCTTCGCGATGCCGCACTGCAGAATTACTACGGCACATGCTGGACTGCACAACCTTCTCAAAAGAGATAGTTTTAGTTTTTTCAGTGTATCAGGCCAGCTATGGCAATGATCATAAACACACACTCGCACACGGAATAAACTTAGATTTGCAAGCCTGCATACTACTATATACAGCTGCATAAATAGTAGTTCAAGAACATGTGTGCGTTTAATAGCCTGACTACGAGGAGCCTCTTGTCTCTGCCTGGGTGTGTATTGCCTGTATCTGTTCGCAGAAGCAAAGCCTGGAAACAGACGAAAAAAATTGCAGGCATTTTTGTGAAAAAAATAAGCTAAATCATCCAGGGACCTGCATGAAAGAGTATAACATTTTGGCCTACACTTTGCAACCCGCATGAGTCTGGAAAGACTCCAACGGACTGAAACTGGGATTAACGATAACACTGTCCTGGGTAAATAAGAAACCAGAAGAAACACATTTTTAAAACTATGTACTTCACTGGAGGCTTCTTTCTGTAAATCGTCCAGCCCCTCTTTTCTGCTCTTCTACTGAGTCTTTGGTCAAAATCGCAAAGGGCTCTACAGCTTCAAATACTCCATCAGCTGATTTTTAGGTCCTGGCTTGCTGTTTATTTTCATTCTATTTTGTGACAGAGCCTTGGTAACTTGTTTTATTGTCAGCAAACATTTATATTGGCTACAACCCGAAATGCTTTGTGACTGTCTCGGATTTGTGACACATTGCAATACACACGTGTCATGCAATGCACACAAGCATGGTTCTATACATTCATATGTAGATAAGGGGTGTTGTGACAGCCTCTCTCTTTCTCTCTCTGTCTGTCTCTCTCTCTCTATATATATGTGCATATAGAGAGACATAAAACATGCATATAGAGATAACTATGTATATACACGTAGAAGAAGAGTTTGATTTTAATTTTTCCTCTCACATACACGCATACATATGGACGTATACATGCATATGTATTCACACACACACATTATCACACGAGTATGCGCACACACAGCTATACATATGCTGTCATATACATCCCTGCATATTCCCTTCATTCCGTTTAAAAATACAGATATCCAGAAGCATCTGATCTCTCACTAAGTCCATTTCAGAATACACGCGCCGCTGGTCTCGTTTTACTCCTACCTTCCAGCTTTGGTAATAATCATTTCGGTCCCCACTTCGTGAAATTTTAGCCACAGTTCTCGCTCGTGCAAAAACACCTTGATCCCTTCCATGCCCTGCAATGAGATCAAGACATGCCCGTGTGAGTGGAGAGCCCCGCAGCCGCTGCCTGGGCTGCCCGGCTCCAGGGCGGGATGCGCTTTGGCACGGCAGCACCGCGCGCTTCTGCTTGGTCCGGAGCCCCTGGCAGGACAGCGCCCGCCGGCGGGGCCGGGAGGCAGACGGAGGCCCCGGGCCCGGCCATGTCCGGGGGCTGCTGCAAACCGAGCGCGGGCCATCGGGCCTGAGCGGAGAGGGCTTGCGAGGGGGGCGGCCGTCTGCGAAACACTGACCCCGGTCGGCGGCCCAGGCACCGGCCGGCTTCCTCGGGCCTCCACCCCGCCAGGCGCAGCGAAGCGGGGCCGCTTCACACCGCGGAGCCCGCTCTGGATCCCGGGTGCTTGCAGTGGGAGGGCTGGCACCGGTCGCCGGTGGCCGCAGCTAGACCCGGCGTGTCTCGACCCGCTCGACTGCAGCACGAACCGAGGATCGGGCCCCCCCCAGTCTACTCCCCGTGGCAGAATCCCCTATAGATACAGACGCACGCACAGATATACTCGCACGCCTGCGTCCGTGTGTCGAAACGCACCATATAGACATTCGTATTTGTACGCATGCACGAACACGCGCATAGGCACACGTGTGTGTCAGAAGTAATTCTGGGCATGCGATGACCTTCAAACAGACATGCCTGCTGCTTACCCTGCTCTATAGTCTATCTGTACACAGAATATACATATACGTGCATGCCGACTAGACACACACACATGTAGCTGGAAATGCTCCCCTGGCATTTCACGACCGTTTCAAAAGAAACTTTTCCGATTCTATATTCCCAGGAGGTGGGATTTCCCTGCCCACCCCCCGGCACGGCGGCTTGAGGGGCAATGCTAGCGGGAGCGGCTCGAGGGGAGGGCTGCTTCGGGTCGGATGCTGTGAAGCAGCCTCGCCGATCCGGGCAGGGAAAAGCCGATATTCGCTCACGATCGCCCTTAGAAGCGAACAGCGGAAGGGTATTTCAGTCCCTTCCCTATTTCAGAAGAGCCTGAACGGAAGTAATAGTTTAAAAGGACAAAACAATATGCGGAGTGGACCCTAGCGCCCTGGCCTACTTTTCTCTCCCCGGGTTAGGTGCACATAGGAGCGAGCCGCAGGCAGCTGCATGCTCCGGAGAGCCGCAGAGAGAGGCACAGCCGCGCTTTCCCAGCACAGGCTGGGAGCAGGGAGCAGGAGACAGGGCAAGGCGGTCGCTGCAGGGATGGGGTTGTGCTCCTGTACCTGTGTGTGACCGCGTGCGCACGCGAGGGCTCCGTGTGTGCGTGTGTGTTTCAACACATACGAGTTCGTGTGCCTGCAAATCGATGGGCGTGCGTTTGTACATATGTATACGTGATCATCCATAGAGCTACGCACAGGAATGTATGCAAACACTTAGGCATGCAACCACCTCTGTGCAAACGCACACACATGTGCATGCAAATTATAGATATATCCAGACATGTGTATCTGAATGCCTACACACACACATACCCATAGTGGTGTGTATAAGTATTTGCATACACCCGTGTGTACTTATGTACATGTATTTGTATGCACACGTGTGCATTTATATCCAGACGTGTGCCTATACATATAAGCGTACATAAAGTCTACAGATCTATGCGTGTTTACACGCGTGCACGTCTTTATATACATACGTGTTTTGTACTTATGTATATGTGCACATATCTGGGTGCATGTGTGGGTGCTTGTGTACGTGTAAGTGTATGTATTAGGTATACCTATAAATGTGTGTATGTCAGTAGATGTGTGCACATATGTAAGAGTGTGTATCTGCAGGCAGAAATGTGTGTATTTGTCTCCATAAATGTATGTACTTCTCTGTATGTCTCTGGGTGAGTATCGGTGTTGATTATTATTATTAGCGGAGTTACAGCTTGTATAATTAGACCGTCATCATCAGTCCCATTATTAGAGCCCAGCGCCTAGAATGACTCGTCTATATGGCACAGCGCAATCCAGAAGGGCAATAAGAGAAAGGGCAGAAGCGGATATTTCTCTCCTGCTTTTACCTGCTGTGTAAAAGCTGCTTGGGGAGAGGAAGGCGACTTGCTGCTGGCCCCGAGCTGACTGTCTTGCTTGGTTTCCGACTGAAGCTCTTTCGACTCCGGATCCACGGGCGTGTTTGGAAGCCCAAAGCCTTCCTCGGTATCCGCCATGTCACGAGCCTCCTTCGCTGAATCTCCCGCTGCAGGCACACACGGGAGAGAAGGGAGATAAAAGAGACGTGAGTCAAAGTTGACATTTAGTAACAGTGTATGGAAGGGGCTGAGCATACAGACAAGCGGCCTCCTGGCCCAACACACCCTCTGGGAGCGACTCACCTTCAGCTGCTTGGGAATCAACTCTGGAGCCTTTAACTCTTGGGGAGAAATATGAGACTTATTATTGCATCCCGCAGGGGTGATAGATTTTTTTTTTTCATTGAATATAGAGACAACGTAGTTGAATTGCCTCACACTAAGCTGCTGGATAAAGATTTCTTTAAGGGCCAGCGTGGATCAGAATCAGGATATATAGGGGTTTGGAAATTACCAGCTCATCTCCAAATTTTCCTCTTCTTTTAAAGCAACATTTGCAAGCTCGATAATTGCCCATGGACTCTGAGTCTTTTATCCCCGGCCCATTTCTGGCCCTCTGGCCAGCTGATGTTGCTTAAATTGATTCCCGGAGCCCTTTGCATTTTGTTCCTTCCCCTCCTAGTTTGTTTTGTTTTTGTTTTTGTTTTTTTTTAGGACACAACAGGAGATGCGAATGATATAGCCACGCTTTCCCCGAAAAATTCAAGCTCTCCTTGCAAATGCACGACGCGAAACCCGCAAGTATTCTCGGAGACAAGTGCTTTCGCCACGCAGTTGCTGGCGGCTGCTGAGCCTGGCTCGCAGAGTTCAAGCGGCATGCGGCAAGCCGCTCGCACGGGGAGTGCCCGAAATAATCGGCCCATTGTACAGCGCGCCGTGCTAAACGTGTGTGTGGTTTGCACTTGAAATTGATCGAAGCGCGAATGCCGGAGCAGAAATGGGACTCGGAGGAAGTCTACTTAAAAATAACCGAGGGGGAAAGAAACCCCCTTAAATCAAATGCAGAGTGAGTTTCACAGCATGTTTTTAAAGTGCAGCTTGAGAAGCATCTCGGCCCTTCCTGAACGACCAGGACAGCAATGAAACTACCGCATTCCCTGTTGAAAATACGGATCCAGAACATGGGCGGTATTAAAAAAAAAAATCCCTTGCTTGGATAAAATAATGGCCCAGATCCCCTTTTTCATAGGCATGCCAGGTGGAGACAATCACACCATTTTTAAATATAAGAAAAAGGACTCTAAAGGAGCTCTCGCCCCTTGTAACCAGATCTGAAACGGCATTTTTTTTCCAATGTATTAAAAAAAAAGGCAATTCCCCTTTAAGGCAGAGGAAGACAGGGCTGGGGCTGTCTTGCCAGTAGCGAGTCAAAAAAGGATTTCAAGGGAGACTGAAAGGGAAGGGACTGCAGAGATCATTTCTGAGCAAGGATCGGCCTTTCTGCCCCCGCCCCCACCCCTTCCCAGGCCGCAAGACACAAGGCGGAGGGCTGTAGCGGGGGCTTGCGGGGTCGCGGCGCGGAGAAGGTGTGTGGAGGAGCTGGGCGCTGCGTCCCTGGGCTGATGCACCGCTGCGGGATGCGACGTCTCCGCAGCCCATTCAGTAGCCACGAAGGCTAGTGGCCCTCGCCTCGTTGGAGCCGCTCGAGAGGCAGCGCCACTCGCACGCTCTTCCCAGTGCCCCCCCGGGTGAGCTTTCCCCCGGGCGCCCAGGCCTTTCTCCCCCGCTCTGCCCAGCGCCGGCGCAGGCGGGGAGGTGGAAGTCGGCACGTTTATTAAAACAAAGACAAGGCCGGCGGAGGGGACAACGTCTCCGGCAGGCTGCAGCCGCAAGCGCCGAGGACTACGAGGGGAAGGGAGGAGAGGGGGACTCCCCCGCCGCGAAGCCCAGCTGGAGATCCGCGCTCCTTCTCCCCGCTCCTCCGAGAGCTGCGGAGAGGAAATGGGGCTTGACAGAACCAGGCCGCGAGCGCCGCAAGCGCGCCCCGCGCCGCTCCCGAGCACCTTCCTTTTGTTCCCCGCCGGCACCTGGGGAGACCCCGCGCCCCCGCCCGGCCCGCCGCCTCCATCTCCCCGCGCAGGCCTC